TAAAGCGATGATATTTGGAATGAATGGTGCTTGGTTCGAGTCCCAGAGTGGACGTCAACTCTGGGATGCAAATACATTCTTCTGACGAGTACCGAATGGGACGAAACGCGCGTACTAGATTCAGCTACCAACTACAATCCATTTATTCTGTATCAACTTATGTCATAGTGGGTTTAACGAGGAAACCCCTCACAGGACGTCCATATGCCAACCACGACTGAATAAATGTCAGCCGAAATATAAAAAGTGGGATAATCCAAACCCTTTCAAAGTGAATCAGTTCTGAACAAACTTACGTCATTTATTTGGAAAGGTTAAAGTTCTATGGGTTTTCATGCTAAGGACTATAATCAATCAGTCTATATTGCCCTATTTGCATCTTAAGATGACAACCTCAATACAGCCAATAATTCACAAGTTTTTAAGTAATATTTGATAGTGGCTAGCAGTGGATTTCAGGAGGAATTTTTTTATCCTATCTGGGTACTTGTCAAATAAGTGTATCTTTATCCCAGTGTTGATTTTCATAAGCAGACGTCAACCCAGTTCAAACTCCCAACCTTACTCAAAACCGGCGACATAACGGCAATATCGAAGCAATTTGTTCATTATGAAGACTGATATAATCCCGTTCGTAATATCAACAACAAGGAAATACAAACAACTACACGTGTTATTATAGATATCTAAGAAAACATGATTATTTAACAAAAATACAACTTTAGACTTTGAAAGTCTGAGCAACACTATTTCGTTTAATTTGATATTAACTTTATATTGATGCCGAAATGTTATGCAATAACATTTTCAAGTAAAGATCTATATTATTGGTTCTAGCAATGTATTAATATGAACGGACTAGTTTTGATTATTTTCACTTATCCCAAGTCAAAAAAACACTAAATATGCAATATCGTAGGTTTATTGAAATTAGGAAAACACATATAAACAGGCAATATTGTTTTCAACTAAAGTCTTATTAGGCCAAAGCCTGATATACATGAAAATATTGAATCAATCAAGACAGTTTGAGTCAGTGATTACACTAAATTCGATTACATAAATAAACGTAATAAACTAAAAGTACAACTTGATAGTATAGTGACAGATGTAGCAGTTGTGATGATAATAATAATAATAACAATACAGGCTTGTATCAATGTTTCATAATGGGATGTAGGTCAAAGACTTGGCAAAATAAACGCTGAAATAAAACCCATTAAAAATAATTAAAATTACGTTTAAGAAGTGTTTCAAATTAATAGTCAATGAAGCGTCTATTTAGAAAAAGGGAAGTTAGGAAAAATAGATGAACAAAGAGTATGGTAGATAATAATAAATAAAATCGTTTGTCAAGATAAATGTGGCTAAGAAGAAGATTAGAATTTTATAAATTTCATATGAATACGAAGATTTGAGTTGTTGATTTTCTAGTTTTGCGAGTAAACATTCTTCAAGAATAAGACTAACGATGAACCAATCACTATTTCATCAATTTATCTATTCGACACAAAATGAACATTCATTGTAAATTTCAAAAGTAATCCTTTGAAACTAACTCCGGAAATTTCAATATTGATCTGGTCGTCAAGTAGTTGTAGAAACATAAAGTCAGTTGTCTGAATTAATAATACCATGGAGAATAAAGAAGTAAAAGTCCAATGTTCCGCCTTTGGTATGAAACTCAAAACATTTTTAACGCTTCTATTACCGAATAATTTGCGTAAATCATCCAGGATTTCAATTAACAGCTTGAAAATTTTATGTTATGGAGAATTATACATATTTGAGACTGGACGAAGGGGACTAGAATTCAAGAAACATAAAATGGTGAAGTATTTGACCGCTGGGTTTCTGTAAATCATGAATGGCTGAAGTAATTCCTCCCTTAATTTCCAACTCATTAAACTCATTGATCAGCCGTCCCTCTGCTTCCATATTTATATCAGTAATGCCACTGAGCTTTTGAAACTTTGTCGACACATTCAAAAATCCGTTCATTTTATCGATGTTATTGGTTATGTTCATTTGAACAAGCCATCCTCCTTTGTTTGACATGATTACGATCAGTGTTACCGTTTCTAAACTTATATTAGTCGTTCACGCGCTTGATCGAAGGCTTATAGTTTGATTCACAGTTGTCAGATCATGGATCCACACTGGTGAGTAATTTCATGGTAGGATAAAACGATAGTGTAATTCATCACCAGTTTCATTGGTAGTCTAACTGATATCACTTTGTGATTTGAAAATATGAGAAATCTATGACTGACCCATAGGTTACCTTGACTAGTTTAATGTTTCTCAGATATATACATATAAATATTCCTGTAAAGTCTAATAATAAGATCAATACTGTTTATTTATACATATTGCTCTTATTTGGAACTATCACATTAGATTTTTTTAATGATACCTGAAAAACCAATTTCGCACTTTCTAACACAGTCGTTTTATTCATGTGTATTCTTTTGTTTGAATTACAGACTAAATCACAGAATATTAGGGACTGATGATTTACTTATATAACAATCTAGATTAAATCATTACCGTTCATTGATGCTATTTGATAATGGATTGTATATTAAAAGATATTGAATATATAGAGCAATAGAATGCATAAAAATTATGTCTATCGTGAAATATTGGTTTCCGGAGTTTGTTCCACTGTAAGATGATAAGTCTACACTGTTGAATAGTTCATAAGTGGAACTAGACAATCATTTAGTATGTTCTGTAGTCTCTTTAATAGTTGTCCATATAATATTATTTTGTTTACTAATCTGTTATAACTAATGTAGGATCTACAACAACGGTGAATTTATTAATATGGTGCATAGTAAAAACGTTTGGTTTTAATGAGTAAACACAACGAAAATTGCTTAAAAAAAGTAATGGATGGAAATTATTAGATAATTTTAATATTGGCAACATCATAAACTCTGATCATACTTCATCCATTACTGAATACTGGTGATATGAAAATCAGATCAGTTATACACTCTACAAGGTCAGATACCAAAGTACATAGGCAAAAACTTCTGCACTTTATTTCATACGAACATAAAATCCTAATAACAAAATGGGGGTTTGTGGACATTGTAGTAACTTTGATAGTTGAATTCAAGAGTCAATTTAACCTAGACCACCATCAGAAACCTGGAAGCATTGGATAGCTGTTTCGTCCTAATGTGGGACTTCTCTACCAGTGCGGGTCCACTATCCCGAATACAGAACTCGGATCAAGGACCTTCGGTCTCGCAAGTGAACGCTGATCCTCGAAATCATTGAGCTCGCATCCAACGATGTTAATGTCTAACTTCATCCAATCCACAATATTGCGTGACCGTCCACCATTGTTTTCAGTTGGTAACGGCCTCACAAAAGACATGGTGGAACTCCACTGTTCACAAGATCAAGGAACAACAAATGTAAAATAATACTAAGATGTAATGTTTATAAAGCAAAACATAAATTCATCTTTGGTGATGATGCTGCTATCTATGAATTCTATCATTTACGGTTTTAACCACAGATTACAATGTTCTTTCAAATCAAGAAGATTTTAGTATAAATTATGCAAATTATTTATTCATAATTTTGTACACAAAATTGCAATATTTAAAACGGGATTATTTTTACTGATTTTATTAACTTATATAGTGGTGTGGGTTACTTATATCCATATGAGTAGTATATATCGGTGGCTAGGCATAGAATGTATTTCAGCAGAAGATCGATAAGGAAAGAACGGAAACGGAACGAAAAGGCATGAACAATGAAATCTGAGACAATGGATTGATATTTGCAAAGGAACAGTCGTCTTTGAGACGAAGGATTGATATTTTGCAAATTAACTATTTACTATATGTTTCTCAGATTTCATTGAGATGCTCTGTAATTTTGTGTCTAAGATATTCGGTTGTCCCCACCCGTGTTCTTGTTCACTACAATATGACACCGAGAATGGAACTACGACTGAACGATAACATTTAATGACAATTTAAATGTTTGGTAGTGAAACCACGAAGATAACAATTAATTTACTTCTGAAAATGGGTCCATTTTTTGAAATAATTGGATTATAATATCATATTAAAACTACTGAATACATTGAATGATCTTGTAAATAAGTATCCTTACTAAGGTTTCACTTGATTATTTCAAATAAATTGAGCATTGGGTAAAGTGTTAATAACAAAATAATGATATATTCGTGAAATCCCTAATAATATTACTGACGATTTGCGGCAGATTCACAATTTTGCACACACACACACACACATACGAAATTGCTTAAAACAAAACTACATGACATTGACATAATCATTATCTGATTTAGTTGAATTAAATATTCTGCATTGTTTCTTGGGATTATTTAAACTTATGTCAATTTAATTCAACTATTTTTATTTATTCTCTGAAACAGAGATTAGGATGCAAAATACAATAAATTCATCATTCCGTTCACTACGATATCACAAATATATCATTATTTTATTATGCTCTTGTAAATAAGCAAAGATGGATGGCGGATCTTGTCAATAGTTTACTTGAAGGAATCCTGTGAAGATTGGCGTGATTTTGGGGTATTACTAATTACAAAGAAGAGCTAAACACAAGACTTTCTAGTCTAACCATTAAGATCACTATGTTGCAGTCTCGTAGTATAGCTTCAACTCCAATCACTTCGCGATATAGCTCAGCGATTAGCCAATGTCAATGGTAACAACCTGTGATATGTTTGAGCTTCGACAAACACAATTTCTCATTAAAACCTCAGAAACAATTCAGTAAACAACATAGTTTAGTTGAAAGGATTTTTTGAAAACTGGCAATTATTAATAAACTTCATTTACCAGTGTTTCTTCATTTTCAACGGTACACTAACTAAAACCAATCTAAGAATAATACAATCTATAGAGATTGTAAATCATGTACTATTCACATTAGTTCTGAGAGAGCAAAAAAACAAAGGAATCAAATACATGAATACTTACTGTTTAACGTATTCTTCTATGTCTGACTCCATCTCATTGATTTTTTTCGACTTGTCAGTAGTATGCTCAATATTCCCATTCACACCATTATTATTAATATTATTAATGGTATTATTAATAACATTGATCTGATCGTGTTTTCCCTGATTATTTGTTAAAAGTAGTATATGTTCATAATCTTTACTAATTAATTGAATATTATTTTGACATTGAATACAAAGTTTTGTTGAATCATATATTGGAAGTTTAGATAGTTCTAATAAATGTTTATAATGATCATTAAAATATACTGAATGATCATTGATAATCATTGGTGAATTATGTTTATGATTATTTATTGTTTCAATATTAGTTATTATAGGTATAGTTGGTATAACAGTAGTGATGATGTTCGATTTATTTTGATAATCTATAGAATTAGTGGTATTACAATGTAATTTATCAGTTATTTGCCTATTAGTTATATGTACAGATGTGTTTTGAGCATCAATTTTATGATGATTATTATCATCATTCTTGTTAGAATGAACTGAAATGTTATTCAATTGATTTGAACAATTCGATACAGACATTACAGTGTTATTTGTATGATTAGGAGTAAGTGTATTTTTAATTCCAGGATTAATAGTATTTTTTGATGTATAACTAATTAAACTGTCATGATTTTTGTTATCCAATGGAAACGGAAGTGAAAAACTATTTGATTCTTTACGTCCTGCCGTTGCTACAACCGCTACCGCTGCCCCTGCCTCAGTTGTAACGGTTGATGATGTTGATGACGACGAGGATGATGAAGAAGGTGTATTTGATGAACAATGTCGGCAAAAATTTAAACAAAAATTTGATTGATGATTATGATCGTTGTTATTGTTGTTATTATCATTTAACTGTTTTTTCTTTCGTTTATTTGAATTTTTAATGCATCTGGTATATAAGGATAAGAAACTATTGGTATGATTAGCATCATTATCTGAATTCAGTTTCCTTGATAATGGTGTTGAAGTCTTTGTAGTTTTAATTGCCGGTCTGTATATGATTCTAGTATTATCACTTGTATTATTTTGTGAAATGGTGATGTTTGTTATTTTATGATCAGCTAATTGTAAAACAAAATAATAATGAATGAGAGACAATTAATAAACTAATTACTTATTTCAGTAATGTAGAAGAAAAATTAGTAATTAAATGATGATTGACTTGAAGAACCAACTTAAACCAATTAATCACTTTCAAAAAATTGTTAACAGTTTCCTATTACAATGTTAGCAATTCATCTCTAGAGAGATGTAACCGATGACGATTATCTTTACTAGGTGTGGAATAAATATTCCCAGTTTACGTGAATGATAGTAGTGGACTTGTTAGTATAAACTAGGTGGTTGTATGTTAAGTTTGTATGTTTTTGATTCGACTTCTATCAAGGCCATGGATAGGCAGTGCTAAGGAGTCTCATATTAGAACGAGATATCTATTCAGTACTTTTTCGTGGTCATTTTGAGAAGTAAAGTAATCTAATAATGAGATTTTTTTACAAAAACAGGTATTTCTGATTTTTATTTTCATATATTGCGTTCGTGGTTACAATAATATACAGGTGATTATGCAACATATCTGCGTACAAATAAATGTGGCTCTTATTCTGACTCCATTCGGACATTATGAGTGATTGTTATTGAAATATATATGCCGCTAAGCCTCGTATACAATTATCGACTTAAACAAAGTTGATCTTTAACGGAATTAAATAAGTCAAGTCCGAAAATGGATTTCTGAATACGTATATTTCATACAGTCGTTAATCCGAAATCGAAGCAAAACCAAATTACGCGCGGAGGTAAAAGCAAGTGAGTCAGCTCGTTTTAAAGATGCGTGACTCGATATATATAACTAGACAAAAATGTGATGAGTAAAGTAAGAAATGCACACATGTACACTTACATAAAAACAGTCAAGGTTGATAAGAGAATAAGTAACTGGGTAAAATTATGGCTTGAGAAGAATCAATAGATTGATCTGTCCAGAAGCTAGAATAACTTATGTGGACTTGACATACCAGTCCCAACAAAATAACTAGTCTCGAATATCTCAATAAATAATGATCACTTAATTTACAATCATAATCTTTGTAAGTTTTTAGTAGGTTATATTAGTAATATTAAGAAAAGTTAATGAAATATGAAGAATAAATTTGTGGAAAAGTCTCAACACACATTTAAATTGGACACGGAAATCATAAAACGGAAGACTAAATCGCTGTTGTGTAACTATCTATTTCGGATAGCTTTTAGACTGATCAACAAATTCAGTTTTCCAAATTGTACTCGTGACACTAATGAAAACGAAAAATAGTCAGATGATTTTAGTAACTCAAATCAGATTTTAGACTTACGTACTTGAAAAACATTTTTAGATCAGAACTCAATTAGCTACACCAGTTGTTAAATAATTTAACCTAAATAAATTTTGTTTTGTGTCAAATTGTATACTTATCAAAGAAAACGTATATTATAAGCTGAAATGAATTGTGACTAGCAGTAGAATCCAAGACACGCGTTTCATCCTATTCGAGATTCGTCAGACGTATGTACCTGCATCCCATAGTTAATGTTCTGCACGGACATCGAACCTAGTACCTTTCATTTCAAATGCCATAGCGTTATTCACTTAGTTACTGAATCCTGATATTCACTAGCTTGTGTAGTGCGATGAAGTTTTTTGTAATGGTTGCATGAATCTTCCAATTGACGGGATGAAATTGCATCTAGCTGACAAATCCCAAAATAGGACGAAACACACATCCTGGATTTCACTACTAACCACCATCCATCTTTGCTTATAATGCTTATGACTTAAGGCAATGTCGAGGCAATCCGCATAGGATGCACATATACCAACAACACACTGATCAATTACAAAGATTCAGACAACTAAGGCAAAAATGAAAATATATATGAGAGAATTCTTTTTTATAATCTCAATGAAGTCAAGGATAATATTACATGTGAATTCTTCACATGATGGTATATTGCTGAAAAAAATAGTCTATCTTGAGCAAATGATTAATGCTGTTCGTTAGTTGTTTATGTAAACAATATAGAACCAGACATACTTCATGTTGATATTATCTGGTCAAACGAATAATGTTCTTTTATTAATGGATAAATATAGTGACTTAATAGAATAATATGACTTATTGGTGATATGAATCATAAAGAAGATAAATATATGAATAATTTTATGGTAAAACACAATTCGAAATTCATTATTCTAATCAAAATTTTAAATGAAGTCGATGCTGTCAATATTCTCTGCAAAATAACATTGAGAGCTCTCCGAATGTACCAGTCTAAATGAGAGAAATTGCAAATCTTCTTCATCATTTCAAAATTTAAAAAAAATCTTTTTTTTTTCTAGATGAATAAAAGGAAAGTGATTTAAACCCATTGGATCATGTTACCTTGAATAGGTTTAGATAAACAGCTTGAAATTTCTAAATATCAATAGTTAAAATCATGAGGCCCTAGGTTCGCGTCTCGCGGGGTGCGGGATCATGGATGCGCACTGCTGAGGAGTTCAATTCTAAGACGAAACGGCCGTCCGATACTTCTAGGTTTTCCATTGTGGTCTAGCTTCAATTGACTCATGATCTCAACTATTGAAATTATTAAAATCTCCACAAAAGCACTTCTGATTTCTAAATATGATATATTTTAAATTTATTGTTATTTTGTGAAGTAGACTTTATATTAGATTATTATGCACCATTAATAGTTGATAAGTCATCTAACTGAGCGCTAGATTCGGTTCCTAAGCTCTACTAGTAACCCCCAGGCTAAATCCACACAGTGACTTGAACATGAAAAGTGAAATTAAATGAAATAAAGAATTAGTTTTATGAATCATGTGAAGGATTGTTTAACACATAAACTTAAATGAACAAACATTTGCTTAAATTAGCAAACATTTTGATGGAACCTATTAGTAATTATGCCAAGACATTACATAGTAAAAATATAGTTCAAAGAAATGAACAAATACGTGAATTAGCATTATATGGACAAATTTATCATCATTCGAATATTTTTAGCCTAATAAGAAAAGGTGTAAAAACTAGTCTTCTTTTAGTTGAGTGACCAACTATAATTTATCCACATCAATCCCAACAGTAGTCTAGAGGTTGAGTATTCAGGCGTGAGAGCGAAGACATAGATTCGATTCCTGGATACGTGGTCGTGATTGTGGATTACCGACTAGTCTCATCCTAGAATGAAACGGTCATACAATCCTTCTAGGTTCACAATGGTAGTCTAGTTTATTTCAGTTCATGACTTAAACTATGAAAATTATTCATTTGTGTTTAACAATTTTTTAATCGACTATAAATTCTGGTACAATTGGCCCTACAACCAAAGCAATAATCTTGTCAAGAAATAAATGAGGGAAGAATTGTACAGTCAATAAATCAATCAATGAAAATAGTATGGTTTAAGAATTATACTTTATCAGTATACTTTAGTTGAAAATCCAAGTTGCAAAAACTTCTTTCTGTTTAGAGGGTTCGTCTTACGTTATTAAGACTACAGTAGTGTCGTCACTGACATTTCTGATAAAATCTCTAATGTTATAATGATAGAGTTGTGATGAATCCAAAAATATAATCAGAATGGGTTTTGTGGAGAATTTTAGAAATTTCACAGGTTGAAATCATGAGTCAGTTGAAGCTAGACCACCATTGAAAACCTGACTGATGATTTCAACCTGTGAAATTTCCAAAAATATAAGTTTAATGCAGCTATTTTTTGCAAAAAAAAGAAAAGAAAGTATCATGTCATAAACTAACCACCTCTGATGTAGCCAGAACTTCGTCAACTTATACGCAGTTCAAATGAATGAACAATTTTATATTACAAATGTAATTATAACAATAAACTAGTTATCATTTATAAATACTCAGAAAAAAAGTGTTGATTGCTGAATATTTTATAAAAACTCAACATTATTTTGTATCTGCTAACATGACTATTATGTTGTATCTTTCATTTAGGAAAGACTTAAATTTCACCAATTAAAGATAACTTAACTGGTTGAAATCATGAGTCAATTGAAGCTAGATCACCATGGAAAACCTGGAAGCACTGGACGGCCGTTTCATTCTAGTATGCAACTCCTCAGCAGTGCGCATCTACGATCCTGCCCCCCACGGGATTCTAACCCAGGACCTACCAGTCTCACGCCAGGCGCCTAACCAACTAGACCACTGAGCCAGCATCCAACGGTGTTAATGTCTAACTTGAACCAATCCACCATCGAAGCTAAACGGTAATTAATTAGTAATCTAGAAATAAACAACATATCTCTTATATAGTTTTCTTTTTTTATTGTTATGTAGAATTTCCCCAGAGAATATTTTTGTAATAACAAACTAAACACTTATTTGTTTATCATTTGATAAACGCATACCGAAACTGATCAATTACATACCGAAAAAATGTTTATTACATCTCATAATGAACTGTGAGATGAAAAACACATTTTCTTCTCTTTTCAAGATAAACATTTTTGTGAACTGTAACGAAGTGACACTTTATTATTCATAATCACTATAGCGTATTATCATCAAGCTTGGTATATATTTATTAGTCGTTTAATAAACTAACAACTTTTCTGAATATGCAATAAAAATCAGTAATACATTTTGGCGAATTTAAACTTTAACCCATTGCACAATCAGGTGGCTAACAGAAATCAGTAGCTAAGTGGAGAGCACGATGGCGTTTGAAGAGAACGGTACTGGATTCGAGTCACGGAGTGAACATCAACTCTGGAATCCAGGTACATCCATCTGATGAGTACCAGATAGGACGAAACGCACGTCCTGGACTCCACTGCTAGCCACTATCCATCTTTGCTTAAAATGCTTGTAAATAAAGGCAATATCGAGGCAATTTACACAGAACGCACATATGCCAACATGAAACTGATCAATTGCAGTCCTAAACAATAATGGGAGAATACAAGCAAACAACACTAAGTGAATTTACATTTTGGTATTGTTTCTAAACATAATTTACAAAGAACTGTGATAACCAGAGTCTG